GTGAACCTCTCTAAAGCTCCAGCTCTTTTTTTATGTTGCTCAATTGGAAGAGAAGCGAAATTCTTCAAGCAAATATTTTGATTATACGACATACATAAGAGCATGTGTTACTACATGTGTGTATAAATCTACATAATAATTTTACTTTTTTTTTTGAGTTTCACTATTTCTTAAGCTATCGTTGCTGGCTTTTCTGCTTCTCACTTTGTCACAATATAACAATCATGAAATAATAATCTATCGTAGTGTTCATTTGCATCAAAAATGTATTCATATTCGACTCTCCTGCCATATTATTTTTTCGTGTATGCCTTCTTCTTTCTACGCTCGCTTTGTTCGCTTATTGCAACAGTCTTCTGCATTTTAGATCACTTTTGTTATGAATTAAGGCGAATGGCGTATAGAAAAAAAAACATTTTAAATTATATATGCAAGTCCATATGTTTGACATCGAAAGACATGCCTTTAGAAAAAAAAGTAATAACAAAAGCCAATGGCGCAAAAAAGAAGAAATTTTCAACTCCATAAGTGTTACAGATCACGTGAATTTATGAACGTAGAGATTAATTTGGGACGCAACAAGTGTTTCTTATTCATTTGTACTTATTTTGGACTAACCATCTGGTCAAACGGCATGTGTACAGTATAGATAAAATGGATGGATAAGTAAATAGATAGGAAAGTCTACTCCCCATTCTCATTAGTGCAAAAAGGCAAATGTGGACATTAGCAAAAGACAATTGTCGATCTTAATGACATGTAATAAGCCCCGAAGCAGCAAGTTGAATTGCTTAAATCAAATACATAGCATGAAATGGCATTAATATTCGTAGAAAATATTTTCATTTCATTCCAAACTTCATTTCGAATCTTTTTTTATTTTTTGTATGTTTAAAGTGGTGAAAATATATTAAAAAGAACTTTCTATTTTTTTTTATCTTTCTCATTCACTCTCATTCCCCTTATGAACTTAACATGTTATGTGGATAATGGCGTATATTGATTAAGATTATCTACCTGCCAGCAACATATGAGCTGAACTAATCAGCTCATTTTTCAAAGAATTTCATGACATTTCAAAATTGTTAACGTGAAATTGATTAGGGGACGATCAAATGTTACGTTTATTAAGTTATAGGATGTATAGACCTGCTGTTCCTCATTGTTCCTTCATATTGAGCTCTCACAGACCCCTGTCTCTATAAAAAATGAACGTCAACAGTGAATAAACCCTTAGGCTGTGCGAAAACAACATGCTTTGTTGCCCAAAAAAGATCAAAACAAAAATTCCTCATCTACACCTCATGGACAATAAAGATGGTGATGTAAGACTGATTATTTTGAGTCATTCGCGCTAATATCATCTCAACTTCTTTTACTATAATTATATGACGACTATTTTTTTCTCCTTTCAATAAGATTTACGTGCTGTCTCTGCTCGCTGCTCAAATATGGAAATAGTTTGGCTGGCTCAGCATTTCTAATAAGCAGTCTATGCAACTATGTGTGTGCATACTTCTGCACACTGCACATAAAATAACATAAAGATATTGATCATGTTGATTAAGTTCAATGGATGGATCACGGATGAGTCGCATGCATGCACATATGAGTATGTGTATATGCGAGAGCAGCAGATTTTTCTTTCATCATCATCTTCTTCTTCTTGATTTTCTTTTCTTTATTAAGTATGAAAGCTTATAAGCGCGCGTTTTTCTTGCGACGCAAAAAATATATATAATAAGATACACAATAAATTAAAATATGAAAGTTTCGAAATGAAATCTTCTTGCTGCTGAATCAACAGATTGTACCATCATCGCATGTGTATACTTATACAAGTTGTGGTTCAAATTTCTGAAAAAAATAAAATAAGAGAGATTTCACTGGAAATTCTTGATGACTCGACATGAATTATGAAATATTTCCCGAGCATTCACATCCGTTTAGTTCTTGTAATGAAATAAAAGTTTTTTAGTCATACGACATGCAGCAAAGGGTGTTAAAAATTCTCAACTTTGACCGAGCAACAGACAACCTTGAACCTTTCCAGCAAGCTTTAGTCATACGCTGACTGCATTAAGTGAAAATTGTGTCAAATGGCATAAAAAATACCTGCCATGGCAGTCAATGTAATTTAACATCACTTACTTTGCTATTATTTGCTCTCGACATTTTTTTTTGTACTTCTTTTCTTATTTCGATGTCGATTATAGTCTTTTGAGCCAAGAGAAGTAAAATTATACAAAAATAAAAAAAAAAACTTTCTATTTTTCTTTTCAATTTAAACAAATTAGCTATTCAAAGAGAAACCCGCAGCAGTTTTATATTCCATCAAGTTATACATATTTTTTTTCTATATCTACGCTTAGCACATTTGTGGATAGGCTTAGGCATTTCGGTGGTGTGTTATATAAATCAATGGCTATGAATAATATTCCTAATGAATACTTCAAGCTTTTTTTTTTGGCGAACATTCACTATGTAGTACATGTACGTGTCTACATACATACATGCTTAATGCCGTATGTTGTATGGAATAAAAAAAAAGAAACGGATCTTAGCGTAAAGAGAAAAGAATCGAATGATGGAATTGTACGCTGAATACAGCAATAATAATGCTAAACGTAAAACAGAAAAAAAAGAATTGAATGAAAGAAGAATTCAGTCAAGGAAAAACGCCGATGAGCGACACGACACAGTTAAAGAAGAATCAATGATAAAGAATGAGAGAGAAGAAGGTAGAATCAAGAGAATGGTATGCTTAAATTTCTTTATTTTCTCTTGTTCTTACGGTTATATACATGAGAAAAGAATGAAAGAAAGAAACGAAAAATAAGTAAATGGGTTACAGACTTAAGACATTGAGCGGAAAAAAGAAAGAGCTAATCTAACGGTGATGGAACTTTTTTTAAAGTTATTTCAGTTCTTTTTTTTTTGAGAAGAAAGAATAAAATTTCAATGCATTAAACCTCATCTTTTATTTTAATTCTTTTACTCTATTGGCATTTAAATTTCTTCTCGCCTTCTTCTTATTTTCCCTTTATTTCTATAACCGTTCTCAAATATGATTCTGTTATTGGAAGTTAATTCTAAATGATGATATTGCCTATATAAAGAGATATTCTCAGTTAGAATCGATAAAGAATTGACACACAAAAATTTACATTCAAATTGGAACCGCTAAAATATAATGCAAATGGGATATAATTCTCATATCCTCAATCAAATACATTTGTTTTTCGTGGATTTGAATTTTTAATCATGTTCTGACATGATGAAACTTGTAATGAGTTTTGCAACGGTAGCTTTAAAATTATGTCAGATTTTTTTTTTAATTTTACAGTCTAATTTTTATAGCCACAAAATGGTTCTCATTTCATGTATTTTAGGCAGGTAACTAAACCAGCTTATTCACTCTAGAATAAATTTTTAAATAAGGGCCTTTATTTACACAACTGTTGTGAAATTCTTTGTAGTAATTTGTATTACAAATTGCTGTTTTCGATGCAAGACTTATGAAATTGTTTATTTTTAGATTGTAATTCTAGTTTGGATTGTAAACAGTTTTGGTAAGGTATTAAGTGGGTGTGGAATAAGATAATCAAGTGAAATTCTTACCAGTCGACAGTCATTGTAACTTCCAAAAAGTCATTTTAAACCACCATCTCCAACTTAACCTAGCAAAAACTTCAACACACCAGAATTATTTTTTAAATCATCTCCGGTCATTGACAATTCTTGTCCAATTTCCAAATCAATTTTGAGCATCATTAGAAATTCACACGAAAAATCCAAAAACTTTGGGGTCAAAATTTTTATAACAAGATTCTCATTCAAAATAGCTAAAAAGAATTAACATTTTATGCCTGCCGATTCTGAGCGTATCAGAACCAAAGAAATGAGAAAGAGAGAACAAAAAAAAATTGAATTGTAGATCAGCTGTTTGAAACAGTTAGAGTAGGTTTTTGAAGCACGTGTTGTGCCTTGCAAACGTGAGAATGAGTTGCTAATGGATTCTTAATGAATCGTTACTAAATAACAAGAGTTCTTTGTAATAAATGAGCAATAATGTTCAATTGATTTCATTCTTTGACCTTCAACATTTCTTTTCCTTTATTTGGTTCTTTTCTGGTATTTTCGAGTGGAAAGAATAAGGCATGGCAAAGTAAGAATATTTCTGTAATGCCATTAAAATGTTATCAGATTTAAGAATTAACGGGATATTAACAATGAGCAAATATTCGACAGCTAGAAGAGAAAGAAATAAGAAACGGGTCCACACATATGTGGTTGGGCTTTTGCTATTTGAACATTTCTGAAAAAGATTAGGCAAAGAATAACAAAAGAACACAAGAAACATCATCATGATGAGATCAAAGATCATTAAGAGCATATAAAGTGGGTTACAAGAGAAGAGAAGTAAAGAAAAATTTCTATTATGTTTCGGTTATGCCCGTCCACTCAATCAGAACAGAAAACTGAGCTTTTTGTGTATTATTTCTTTACAGCAAACACACATGACCCGTTGAGCGGTCTCGAAACTAAATTTCTTTTCTTTATTTTTGCTTCTTCTTTAAAATAATAGAAGAAATGCTTTCTTTTATAATCAGTTCAGCATACATAAAAATATAAAGCGATGAACAGCGAATGAAATTCTAAACGTAAGCGAAGAATACAACACAAAAAAAATTGCTTAAAACAGTTACGTTTTGGTCGATGATACCCGATGCTGTCCATACCTCATTATCAGAATAAATTTCTTTCTTCTCTTCCCCGAAAAAAAAAAAAGAATTTTTTCTTCTTTGCCATTTGGCTTCTTTTTTTGGGTTGGAACTAGAAGCATATCTTTTAAGAATGTACAGTTCTTTATTCATATGAATTTTTATGCATATACATATTAATATTAAAGCATTAGCATTGGCAGTAGCATAGAGAGATACAGCTATTAAATAGTTGAGATTCTATATATTAATTATGTTCATTTAATTAATTCACAGGCTATAAAATTATCAGAAGAACCGAAACGTCGAGAATGGCCATTCTTCACATTAATGGATGTATATTTTAGCGATCAAGTCAACGATCCATCATTGAGACTATTCTCATCGACAAAACGCTTTGACACAGATACATTTGATGACAAGAATTTCGATGAGGAATTGCAAGCAGTTTTAGCAGCAGCAAACTTAAATTCATCCATGTCAACAGTACTACAAAATCTCGGTCTTGGTATCGGCGTTAGCAGACAAAGTTTTCTCAAACGTGACTCAAGTTTAGTGTCAAATAATAATAATATTAATAAAATTAGTAATAATCCAATGGAAATTGATATGATTGACGATAAGCATGATGAAGAAGATGAGGATAATAAATCAGAAGTGTCAATCAATTTGAGCACAAAACTGTTAACCAGCAGTCTCATGAATACAAACAATTCCAGCATAAATGATAAAAATAATAACAAAAGTCATCTCACAAGTCTCAATAATACCAGCAAAATGAACGAGAGTATTGGCATCGAGAAAGATGGATGTTTAATTGAGCCTAATAACAATAATACAATGAATAGCAACCGTAACTTGATGGGACGCGATGCTAACAGCTATAGTACGAATAGTGAAGGTAGCATAAATAGCAGTCGAAACAGTGCAAGTAGTCACGCGAATAATAATGATGAGGATTACGAAGACAATATGGTTCGTGCTTATGAGCGCAATTTGAAAAATTTAAATCAAAAGTTCTTGCACGAGATGAGCGAACATCACAATATTGATCAGTATCTGCTATCGTGGCGTGGATTTCATGGAAACATGTGCAAAGGCTTTCATAATTTACAGCGCGATGGTCAAATGGTCGATGTTACTATCGCTGCAGGCGGGAAAATCTTTAAAGCACACAAATTGGTAAGTGACGCACAAATACTGATGAGTACATAAAATAAAAGTGAATTGTCATGTCATATCTTGAAGCCAGCATGATACTTAAAAATCGATTTAACTCTCACTCGCTCACTTCTAATTTTATGGACATTCTTTTTTTATTATTACTTGTTTTGTTGCTGCCGCCGTCATCATTTTTAATTTCATTTCATTTTTTTTTGATCTCCAACATTAGGTTCTGTCAGTTTGCAGTCCATACTTTCAAAAGATTTTTATCGAACATCCGTCATCACATCCGATCCTGTTTATGACCGATGTCAATAGTAATCACATGGCTGGATTGTTGGACTTCATGTATAGTGGACAGGTAGATAACATTTTTATACTTCTACTTCTGCTATTTGCTTGCTGCTCCCCACTCAATTCCTTCTTTTTAGAAAAAAAAAATTTCTCTTTTTTCTGCTTCCCAACTTCATCTCTTTTAGACTTCTTTTCTTCTTTCTGACTTGAAAAAAAAACTTACTTTCATTTAATTTCATTTTGAAAAAAAAAACTTCTTTTTTCTTGTTGAAAAAAAAAATCTAGGTCAATGTAAAATATGAAGATCTACCGAATTTTTTGAAAGTTGCTGAGGCGCTTCAAGTCAAGGGGCTACATGGAGAGGTAATATCAAATTGTGTGTTTTAGCATTTCCAAAAGAAAAAAACCAAACATTTGCATTTTAAAATGAAATTCTAATCAAACAAAAATTTCTCTTGTCCATTTGCTATTTTGGTCATCATCCATCCGATTGATTGTCCAATTTCCAGAGCACGACAGATAGCACAGAGGATCGAGAGCGTGAACGAGAACGTGAAGAAACAAATTATGCATCACAATATCGTCAACAACAGCAACAACAAGCCCTTCATCTTCAACAACAACAGTTCAATTATAGTCAAATGCAACGTCAACCAGTAAGTCAATCTCCACACTTTCAACATCCCGATAACATTATCAATGAGAATCGACAAAATATAAGACATCATATAAAGCCGAAAACGACTTTTATCAACTCCAACAACAACAGTATCAATAGTAACAATAATAACAACCCGGATACAACAACAATGAACATCAATAATAATAATAATAACAGCATAAACAACAACAATAATTCGATTAACCTCACAAACAATAATCATCACAAATTCGGTGTTCAACAGGTCAATTCAAGTAGTAAAATGTTGGATAATCAGAAATATCAAAAGTATTTTGCGAAAAGGAAACTGCTAGCTCAATATGAACAGGAAATGCGACAGGAGAAACGGAATAGAACAGGCGGCAGTATAGACGAGGATGAAAATGACAGCAATCGACCATTGAACATGAGAAGATCACAATCGGTAACAGAAGATGACTCAAGAAATACGGATATTGGCAGTGCAAAAAGTATCAGCGTTGGACTAAATCTCATACAGAACATTAAGACGGAGAAGGGCGACGAAGATCACGCGGATATAAATGGTAATGACGATGGTAATGAAGCAGGCACAGGATATTATGGATCACATTTAAGTAAGATGAAACATTCCATTCTTGAACCGAACATAGTATTACAGCACAGCGATGAAGTCATATCGGCATCGAATGGCAGCAACTCCATCACAAGTACATTGCAGAATACAAATTTAAGTCAAAAAACGGCAAGCTAAGAAGAAAACTTTCTCTTTTTCGTTTAACGTTACCTCAATGGGCTATGAATATATAAAAATGAAATTAAAAGAAGAAAAAAAAAAACTTTATGTATTGTTCAGTTGGGCAACTAAAAAAGCTTTATAAAAATATAATAATTTGTTGTGTTTTTTATGTTCAAATGGCTGAGCAACCTGTACATACATCATGCATAAGTATCTTTAAAGAAGAAAGAAAAAATCTAATATAATTATTATATATACATGATATGGACATAAATTTAAGAAACTATGTCTACATACAATTATACATTATATATACATTAAAATAGTTAAAATGAAGAATATTATTAGATAGAATAATTTCAATTTTAATTCAAAAGAAATTAAATCAGATGTGAGTTTCTTTGTTGGATCTTTACATCTTTGATGGGAGAGGTGGGATTACCTCAACTTAGGAGGCACTTGAAGTGAATGATGCTTGAAGTTAGCTGTAAGAAGTTCTTAAGTTTTGGAAGATTTCTAGGGGGAAATCTAAAACGTTTGCATGAATTTGGTCAAATTTTTGTGAATTCGTTCATGTTCATGCAATTCTGATATAGATTAGTCATGGATCAAAGATTTTCCTGCCAAAAATAAAGAAATTGAAGATTTACCGTTCAATTTCCCGCCAAAACTTCAAACCCACCAATTTCCTGTAAAACTTACTTTGAATTCCTATAAGGATATGAGCTCTGTTTCCAAAAAAAGATCTCATTTAGGGATTCCATCTGATTAAACTCCATATAAGGATCCAACAGACAAATTCACACCAATAAGATATCAATAGTCAAATTTTTACTATTGCCAATTCATAAATTATTATGATTGATAAGGATGAAAAGAGATGATAATCAAATTACATACTTACCCCCCTCAAAAAAATGTAGGAAGAAAGTTCATGACTCTTCCTCGTTTACCCTCTTTACATCTAGCACAAAATATATTATTAAATAAATAAATTAGATAAAATTATTATAAATTAATTAAATTAAATCAAATTCTATTTAGAAGAAGCTTATTTTTACAACAAAAAAAAAGAACTCACATGTATGTACGAGACGGAGTGGTGTGGCACTGCTGCACATTAAATTAATTAAGATTTTTACATTGTTGTTTTTTTTTGTTTTTCTTTCTTCATTTTCATTTTTTAAGATTTAAATTTAAAAAAAAAGTTTATAATTGCGAAATTTTTATTTTTTACAAAATCTACAATATTTATTAAATGTATAGCTGAAATGTTGTTAAATATTATTTTATATATTTTTTTTTAATTTGTTGAAATTCGTTGAAAAATAAATAATATTAAATTAATATAGTTTTTAATGGAATGATAATGTTGCTGTATGTAATACGCATTATAAATGATCGCTAGATAGCTGAAGAAACATCTGATGTTTATTTATTAGTTTAAAAAACATATAAAAGTAATTTACATAGAGCACTAAGTTCACCAAGCTTATTTTCTTGAGATAATATTGAAGCTTGTGAAAGTTCTTTTGTTTAAATGTTTTTATCATTATTATTATTATTATAATTATTAAAAAAATCTAGTAATTTAATTTTCATAGTTTTAAAAGAAGAAAAAAAATGAGAGATAATTTATAAGTGATTGTCTATACACATCAATGATGAAAAAAAAAGTAACAAGAGTTAATGTACCATGATTATAAGGATGGCAGATGAATTAAGAAAAAAAAAATAATTAAGACAATTTTGTTTTTAAATGTTTGAAGATAAATGTAACAGTCATTTTTACATTCAAAATTGCATACTCTATTATTATTATTATTATTATTATTATTATTATTGTGTTAGTTTTTTAATGGCTGGAAAATTGCGGGAAATTTTTAAATGCCTCAAAAAAAAATATGCTCAAAAAATTCTCCAATAATTTTCTCTTTAATGTGTTCTCATTACTAACACAATCATACAAAAAACAAACAATATATAAATTCTCAATTTAAGAATGACCGTTATTAAGTAAAATTGTTTTAAATTTAATGAAGCCTGTCTCAAAAAAATGATAAAAAATGATGAAAAAATCTTAAAGATGTTATATTATACTTATAATCTTTATCTGTTTTTAAAACGCAAAGTGAAAATGGGAGTAATTAAAACAAAAAGTATCTAATATCTCACAGCTACTAATTTATTACTGTTACTTACTTAATATACATACACAAAACATATTTAATATATTTAAAGAAATGACGAAATGTTTAATAAGAAATGTGTTATGGTGAATTAAAAAATTTTACTCGCAAAATTTTTATATTTTTATCTACATTTGGTTTATTTTTAGTTTTTTTTTTGCTGAGTGGCGCAGAATTTTTTTCTTGATAAAAGATATGTCATTGTTATCTTGAGCGGCATTGTTTTTGTTGTCAACAATGTTTAGAAAATGTCTGGGAAATTGCTCTTGTTTCGTTGATAACTTAACTAGATTTCACTGGTATACATAAGCGGTAGAGGGTTGGTTAAATTATGTTTTCAAAATTTACTAAGATGGCTAAACTAGAGCTTCAAAAATTTTAATTTCTACGGAAAAAATAAATTTTGAGAGGGGAGATTTAACTTATTGGACCCACATGGTTCAACCATTGCATACGTTGTGAACTAGTTGATGCTTAAGAGCCAGAAAAATTTAAGAATTGAAAAAATCTAGGAAATTAAAGAAATTTTCTCTACGAGAAGGGGGGGGGGGGGGGCTTAAGATAGCCATTTAAATTCCCAACCATTTCTTAAATTACACTTCATTCAATCAAGTAGAGTACAAGAAGCAGTTCATAGGAATCAATTTCTAAAGTCTATTAGAACATCTTAATAAGTTTAGAAGCACTCCAACACCCCCCCCCCCCCCCAAAAAAAAGAATCACAAAAACAAAAAACCACAGTATTATCTGCATGATGACTATTCCAAGAAAAATCTGCCCCACTCAGCCTTACCATTCACTGTTTGGAACTTGAGTTGATTTATATTTTTTCCTTATAATCACATAAATGTGTTAAAATGCATAACCTCAGGTTTTTCCTTATTATTTTTTTGTTTTTAAATTGCGTTCCCTGTTTGTCAATTTTTTTGTACGTTTTTAATTATAATCCTATTTTGATATAAAATTAGTTAATTCTTCCGCTAATCAGAAAATGTATTTGATGTAGCTTGGATGCGGGTTTTTTATTTAACTGTTTTTAACCTTAAATTAAATTTTTTTGAAATAATAAAAAATTGTTGTTGTTTTATTTGGAAAAAAGAAGTTAGTTGAGAAATTAATAATTGTCTATCTTAATTTATGGTGCTTTGCATTAGCGAATTATTAAGTTTTATTATTTTTATTTATTCTATTTTTTTGTGTAAATTTAATTGATAAAGAAATTTCTATTTTAATACAAATTCCTTCAACTAATTATTAAAAATGAATTAAATTCCATCTCTTAAAAAAAGTTTTCCATTTATTATACTCTAATCCAATTAATGTTTTTTTTTGATCTTCTTTTATGTCATCATATACATATTATTGTATAATGGAAAAGAAAGAAAGGATTCGATTTTTAAATGAAGTAAAAAAAAGTTATGTTTTATTTTTATTTTCTATTTTTATTCTGCTCTATATTAGAAAGAGAAAATTGTTATATAAACAAATTTATTCAAAAATCTAATAAAAATATTATTTTCACTAATTATAAAAAATTTTGTCTTCATCATTTTATTTCATTGATTGTCTCTGCTTACAGATTTTATGATTCTTGGAAATGTTTAAAAAATAACATTGTTCATTCATAACAACTGCTCGAGCTTTTTTATCAATGAAAGCTCATCAAAAGCTCACGAGAGCTTTCAAAAGCTCATGTAAAAAGAGCTTTTTGAACAATTTTTTGAGAGAGTGAGAATCAAACTCTCACTGGAAGTGGAATTCTCACATGTAGTAATCGTTGGAATTGATGTATTTAACAACGTGATTCTGCAAGACGTGAATCAGTTGTTTAGCAGAAACGGATATTGTAAGGACGTAAAGAAAAGAATCTAAAAGAAAATAATAATGACAAGTCTCGAGTGTCGATAGGAAAAAAGAATGAAAAATTATTTATGAAAGTGCGCGTTACTGTCAATTACGTTTGATCACTTCATTAGCTAAAATAAGGCGCAAACAACAAACATAATAAATCTCAATTATATCAGCGAAAGTGAGAAAATTACAGGAAATGCATAATAAATTTATCACTCCCATTTGGATTTCGTTGATAAGCATGCTGACGCAAGGTGAATTTATGACTCGATTTTCTTGAACATTAAAAAAAAAAGAAATGACAAAAAGGATTGTCCATAAAAAATTTGGTGTCAAAAATTCTATCCAAAATTATGACTGGTTAAGGACGTAAAAAATTTATTGTGCCATTAAGAAAGGAAATGTCAAGATTTCATTTTACCATGCATGCATTGTGTGCGGAGGCTAAATTTACAAATTATTCATGCAAAATCATTCATCATGGTGGGAGTCCTTTGGATGTTATGTACTCCTTGGTTAATAAAGGAGTCCTAGCATTCTCTAGCTGAGCTATAGCTCATGCTTGCTCACTTTTGCACTTCTTAGCCAATGCTACAGATGAGGATCATTGAATTCCTAAGCCAAATGATGAATTCTATGTTTTAAGATAATCCTTAACATCACTAAACATCCAAACAAACCCCAATAATGATAAGATGAAGAAAATTAAAATTAATTTACGCCAAAGATTCTTCTTCAATGCTGTGGCACATGATGGAAGTTAAAAACTCAAATTCTAATGCTCTTCATATTTCATGAAAGCGGAAAGTTTTTTTTTCTTATTTGAGACGAGTAAGAACAAAGAAGACTGTAGACTGAAGAGAAAAGGTTTCATCAAATGTCTTAATTTATGACTCAATGAATTAAAAAGACCCAAGAAATGCAAAAGAATTTTAATTTTCAATTATTCATAAATAATTTATTTTTTTTTTGCCTATTTAATATGCAACACGTGTTGCTTCCGTAGATTGATTCAAGGGGGTTTCATTTGAATTTCTTGAAATTAAAAACCAATTTTCTGTGGAATTTTCTCTTCTTTTTCTCAAACCAATCTCAAAAGTGTTCGATTTATTTATTCATTGTCTTATTCTTATTTAAATTTATTTCTTTGCTTTTCATTCAAAACCGAAAAAATATAATGGATATTTAATATGGCGTGGATACAATGAAAGGATTTGGAGAGAAATCAAATGTGGATATAGTGTGTGGACATGCTGACAGATTATTTGAGAGATGTTTTGCAAATAGTGAAGATTTTAATGCATCGAAGATTTTCTTTCAGAATACGACAAAGAGAAAAATTCCTTATAGTACAGTTGAGATTGACTACAACTGCAAGTAAATAGAGTTGGTCTTGATTTGAAAGCGTAGGTCAACTTTGAACTCTGGAATTTGACAGTTGGAGAAGTGAAAATGTTCATAAAATACTAAAATAACCTATAAAAGTTATCAATTAATATGGGAATTCAGATGCATAATAAATGACATATCTAAGTGGAAGAGAGTGTGCCTTTAAGACAGTATATAAGTGAATTCAATGTAATATGAAGAAAATTGATATGTAAATGTGTCAATATATTTTTAAATCGGCAAAAGTTTCTGGTTATTGTCTTAATAATCAGTTTAGAGTGAGAATCAAACAATTGTCAACATTAAATCGGAGTGGTGCTAATGTTTGCTGTCTCTTAAACTTTGATTTAAACTTTTAAACACAATCTGAATTCATTTCGATTTTTTATTCACCTCCTTTAGATTCTGCTTTTCTTTAAACATGATGAAGACATTAAATATAGTTTAAATCACAATCTTGAATTTTCATCGTCCTAAATTCTGGATCTCACTGATTTGTTTGAAAAAGAGAGAATCAATAGATAACAAAATATTTAAATTAAATTGTTTAAACATTTTTTAATAAATTCCAAAAATATTTCCCACGCAAATAAATCAGAATTTTCTCAACATTTAGCTACAAATTGTTTAAATTCCAGTGATGCAATGAAATTAACCAACAAAGTTGACCTACCTTCCAAAAAAAAGTCATTATAAAACTAAATCTTCAATACTTTTTTGTTCATCTCGAAAGATTATTCAATCGTGGCTTACAATGTTACCATGACTATACTGAAAAGTGCATGGATGCGATGAATAAACGTCTTATAAATGGTGAAGTGGAACCAGCAAAAAACTTTTACTCAATGTTGTGCAATGACAAAGAATTCAAAAAAGATTATCTGAACCATAGAGAATGTTTTCGTTACATTGAGAAGGTAAGGAAAAAGGTTTTAATTGAAAGGAGATAAGTCTTCCTAGAATTCAGGCTCTCAATTTTATTGTTTATCGTTATTTTGACAAAATTCAGAGAACAATGAACAGTTAAGAGCCTTAAAGCTTATAGCAATGGAATTTTATCACAAAATAAATTAAGTTGCTTATTATTTTCATTCGCGGAAAAAAACAGCACTTTATGTACATGACTTGGAGATAACTTCTTTAATTTCAATTTATATCCATTAAAATTTAAATAATTTTTTTTAATTTGTTTATTTTTCGAGTTTTGTTTATCATTTGGAAAGACAATACACAGCATAAGCCATAGAGAAGTTGTCAATAAAGACTGTTTATAATAAGAAACTTGAAAACGATGGTTTTGGATTTTTAAACATCCTTGCAATTGAGAGATTATTTTTGAGGGACATGAGGGGATTTCCTTCAAATGTTTTCTTCAATCCTAAGCGTCTGTTTGATTCTTAATATGAATATTTAACCAAACTGTTGCTTAATTAACTAGTAAGTATCTAAAGTGAACTGTATCTGATGCCATTAATTGATTTCATATCAATGAAACTTAAGAATGGCAGTTTTACTGAATGAGCAGAAAATAACAATCGGAATTCTTCTTAATTGCACATTTAAAAGCATAATTCCTCATCGAATTAAGTTTAATGTTTTAAGGGCGTACATTCTTATGGATTATATTATTGTTCTGATTTTGTGTAATTTATACGAATTTATTTATCATCAAATTCGTACTGAATTAATTGACCTTTTGAGATATCATTCGATATCAATGCCAACAAAAACGTTGAATGTATTTAACTTGAAGAAAATGAGAATCAAACATTCCCACGAATGTCTTTTTCCACTTTGGTAAAACATTTCATTAGCATTTTTCCACCCCTTAAATGTTTTTTTGCGAACTTCTTTTATTATCACTCGTAATAATGCTAATTAAAGAAATTCGCGCACTTTTTTTAAGGACGTCATTGAAATCTGGTTTGAAATTTTCCATTTCAAACTTGACATTAGTAACAAAAAGTTTATTGAAGTTGAGTCAACACGACTTCCCTCTCATTTCAATTTCATGGATTTCATCGCTCTAAAAACGCCAAGTCAATCAAAATGAAAGCTCAAATTCCTCCGAAAAGGAATATTAATTTTTTTAAAACAAATTTACGACAAACGGTTCCGATTCAGTATTTTCTATTTGACAGACTTATTACTTAGGGAAGTTTGAATGTTACGTAGCCCAAAAATTAGAACACTTTGTGATTCTTTTCCCTTCATAGATCTTTCAAATTACTGTTAAGTTTAGAACTTCAATTGAATTCCTCATAAAGTCTTAATTATAAAAAATGTACCTTAAACTCTCATAGATTCTGAACCAAGTCAACATCAAGAAACCAATTCATTTTCTACAAATACGGAAGCTTTTTATATTACACAAGGCGTAGAACCAATCTCTTCCGAGAGTATCACAGCATTAAAAAATTTACCATCGGCTATTTAATGTCCAATCATTTTTAAAATAGCTACTTAAACTCTGTGAAAAGAGATTAAATTTTATGCTCGAGTCACTTTTTGAACCACAAAAAAAAATCCACCCTCAATATTATTAACAAATATTTCGAAGTTTATGTTCCTTCATTTCCAATTTAATTTTCGTATTTCCACTCTTTTTATAAATCATAAAATATTACGTCTTAAAGTTGGAGAAGAAAATTTATGAAATTGTGTTTTTGGCGCCAAAGAATGTCTTGCGGTTATGAAATCCAATCATTCTTTATAAAATTCTAAATACTCTTAAAGCGAGGCGTGCAGGGTTTGCATTTTAGAATGAAAGATAATTTTTAACATGGTTCTTTATTGAATCCAAAATGTAGAAGAAGGCAAGAATCAATGTTGTGAATCTGATCAATTAGCTTTTGTTAAGTTTTGCTCAGTTTTGCTCATTTTTGTTTGTTTTTGTTCACTTTTGAGAAATTTTGACCAGTTTTGTTCACTTTTGAGAAATTTTGACCAGTTTTGCTCAGTTTTGCTCATTTTTGTTTGTTTTCGTACTTTTGAGAAATTTTGACCAGTTTTGCTCAGTTTTGTTTAGTTTTGATCATTTTTATCATGTTTAATAATTGTTTTGATCAGTTCCAGCTTTAAAAAGTCTTAACGCATCCCTGCAATTCCAGATTTATTCGCCACAAATATGAAAAACAACATCTTGTGTTTATGATAGACTGAATCATTTCCAAACGAATGAAATTATGAGTCGTAATATTTTTCAATTATGAATATTTATTTTGCAGCATGCATTAAATTGTATGAAGAAGTTAAATCGTAAACAATGCTCAGAAAACTTTCAATTCTCTTAGAAAATGGGCAAAGTTGAAATTTTAGTGCCCAATTATGAAGAAGAAAAACTTCTTTGAATGACTAAACCCTCAGAGGATTATTTGCGGATATGATAAAAAAAGAAAAAGTTAAAAAGTTATTTCATTTATAAATCTGAACCTTTTTTTTGAGAGTCACAGCAACAGCTGATATAAAATTTAATGCGATAAAATGATCCATAAACCTTTATGTGTGTTCAATACCTGAGGGCTTTTTCGCACTGCCTATCAAGTCAATTGAATGAATTTATAACAATAATATGCTGTAAATAATAGAATGAATGCTCAATACAAAATTAATTTCGACTTTTTCAATTCAACAATTGAATGTTGTGTACATATTGTGCTTACTTATCAAAATGTAATTTCCAATTTTTTTCTCATTTTTCTTGACAACATTTTTTTATGACTTGTGTTTATTTCTATTTTCCTTTTTTTATTCCACGCGCCTTAACGCACATCGACATTTTGTGAATTTTATCCACATAAAAAAAATAAAGGATTTCGAGGAATGTACAGCACATTACCAGAATGTTATAGAGAATGAATTCAAGCGGATAGAGAGGGAGAAAAAGAGCAACATTAATGTTCAATACATGCAATTTTGCTGGTAAGTTATTAAAGCTTTTCATTTTAAGCAGGATATGAGAAACCTTAAAAAATTCCAAAAAAATTCCGGTACATGATTTTATGAAATTTATTAATAATTTTCTGACAAAATTCAAATTATTTTTAACCGTTAAATGACTTAAGTCATCGAGCTTGAAACCATACTGAAGATAAAGAACCCACAAAAATCCTTCCAAAGTTCATTAAAATTAAAAAATGATCAGACATTTAGTCAACACATTTCATTCCTTCAATGCGATTTGCCGCAGCCTGACAAGTCCCATGATGATTATTTTGGGTTCCATATCATTTATTTAAGGCTCAATAAACTCAAACGATGATGTTTCTGTGATTTTTTTTAACAGAACAAAATGGAACATCCCAGACATTTTTCATTTTTTATCGCTTTTTAACCTTTCGTACACAGGGCACATAATCCACTCCATTATACATTATGCATACCTAATAATAACTTTTGATAAATAATTTTTTACATTTTTATTCTATTCCACTTCATGCTCGATGCTACATTGTGCGTTTTTTGTATTTTTCGCACATATTTTATGTCAACAACAACAACAAAAACATTAACATGATGTCAGTGCTCGTTACTCATATGAGAATTGTGTATATAACAGCGCCTGGTCTAAATGTAATGCAAAGTCAGCAAAATTCACAAAAAGTATTGTAGAATTACTGTCAAGTGAGCGACAATTTAAAAATTGTGCAAAAATTGAAAAAACTCTTTGTTCGGATGCTTCGGGTAGCTTCCACGGATTCAACATGATAATGTATCTCTTATGTTCGTCTTCTATTCTAAGTGGTATGTTACTGATAAGACAACTCTAATTTATGTTAAATTGCTGAATGTAAAATGTAATAAAATTTATTATCACATAACACGTACCAACATAGATCCACAAGCTCGATTGGTGGTTAATTTAAAATTAAATTCAAATTGAAGACGCGAACAGTTTGGGGGTTGTTCGTTAATTACGGACATTGAAATTAAACTGTGCAATAAATGATTGGTTCTGCTCAGTGAATGTCAATTTTAGTCAAATGACAGCTCAAAAGCGAAGACTGGGTGGTAAAAAACCTTTGACAGGAAAGATTCTGCTTGCTAGAATCCCCCCCCCCACCCTCCACCTCCCTCGCCACTTTAGGTACTTTGATAAATATTGATGTAGTCTTTATTAATTTCAAAGTCACCAATATTTTTACCTCCTGTTTTTGACTCCTGTATAAAGGCCTAGCCACAAAATTTTTTGAGGGGGGTACCGAATTAAGGGGGGGGGGGGGGGTGTTGTTGCATGGATGAGAGAATTTGAAGTGACGAGATGATAAGATTAAGAAATTAAGATTTTTTTATATTTTCTACCATGACAAATTCTTGAAGAGGGGATTTGAAAAATGAGACGTCATTTATGAACGGCCCCCATAGAAAATTTTAAAGCTTTTTGCAAAAACATAAACAAACTTATATCTTTCCTAGCCGATAGCAATAGAAAAAATTGTTCTTAAATATCAATTTTTCTTCCTTTATCTATTTCTTAACATCATTCTGTATTCTGTTTAAATTACTGTCGAGAAATAACATTTCTCATTAATCTATTTTCATTAAGTAATTTATTATCTAAAGGATAATACAATGAAATGAATATTTATAGAGGAAATGAGATGTAAGAAGGAGAAAATTGTTATAAGCAAATTATATTGTAATAGAATTTAACGAGTTGTTGCTGACTCAATAAGTCTCTTGAATGGAAAGCAAGGTGTTACGAATTTCCAATTCTAAAGCTTGAAAAGTCAAGAAGAAAAAGTTTGGCATTAAAATTTGATTGCTTAATTTTCAACATAGTGTGATCTGAGATAGCATAATACTAATAATAATTAAAAATGATTAAAATAATGAAGAAGAGTTCCAAGAATGTGTGTGGAACCAGAGGCGAAATTATCAAGATTGTATAGAGAATTTATTGTACCATAAAATATAATTACATGCTTTTGTAGGCAAAAACTTATAAAATTAATTTTATATTTCTAGAATAAAACATTATTAACCTTAAGAAGCTTAGACAAGATCACTATTTCACTCACATATGTATCCTTTGTAGTTAATAACAATAACACGTGGTCAAATTAGTTTTCGACTAGATAAATGCACGTTTTCGAGCACATTCAACACATTTTTCTTCTGAAAAACAAGCCTTTTCGTGACTAAGTTAATCATCATTAGCTGAATTTTGATATGTCAAGGTCAAGACACAACTAGTGCTGCTAAACAAGCGCAATGCTTTTAGGGGTTTTTTCTAAGATTTTGTGACAGATGAACGTAAGAAGGAGTAGGGGGAGGGGGGGGGTCGTCCATCGAGTTTTTAACAGCCAAGCTTTTTTTAAGGCATTGATATATTCGCCAAAAAGCACAAATCTTCCGAAATTAACGGCCATGTTTCAAAAAAGAAAAATGGATTTCCAGGAATTTCTATTGTTCCTTTCTTGCTGAGACCCCCCCTAAACTTCTTAAGTAAACGGACCATATGTATTTCAAATCTATTCCAAATAAATTCATTTCTTCAGAAAATAAAGCTTCTTTCAAAGGAATTCGAATTCTGAAAATTTTATAGAATCATCTCAGTAAATTGAAAAAGTTCTCGAATCCTTTGTTCTGATCGAATTTCAATTACATTAAATCAAAGACTTAAATGAAGAAATAAAAATCAGAAATGGACATCAATATTTTTACATTAACTTTAATCCATTTTTCCATTTCATTTAACATTCAATACAATTTTAGCCTTTCTGATATTTGATTCCTTTGGGCTCCTTTTCCATCTTCTTTAAAGTTGATGTTTTAAAGATAAGATCCATGAAAATTAAAACGAGCACCGAGGCTTTATTCAATATCAATCATCTTTAAGTAATGGAATTGGCTATAAACTTTAATACATTCGGAGCGTTAAGATGTGATTCAAATACGGAATGAAGTCTTTGTGCAGACAATTCATTTTTCATTCAATCATGTTCCGTCCCAAAAGTTTTCTTCTTCAATTCTGGATGTCCTCGATTTGATAATTTTATTTTTCTTTAAGATGATGTTCTGTGAGGATTTGTAGATTGTGACAAATGAGGGAGTTGAATTAAAAAAAATCAGTTTTTAATTTTTATAAAATTCGACATCAACAAGATTTTCAAAAAAAATCTTCATTTTTCAAATCGAAGACCCCCTCAAAGAAAGTTTCCTTTCTGTTGCTTTTGATCTCTAAACATCTTTATGTGATTTGTGTGAAATCTCTTAATTTCATGTCTGAATAGCTTTGTGTCCCTGAAAACTGTTGAGAATATGTAAATAATCCAAGCTTAGTTCACAAAAATTCTCTCTTAATTACTCTTAAGCTCTGTTGATAATTAAAGGAATTAACTTTGTGGAGAATTGAATATTTAATTTAATGTGCCTCAAAAGCTTTCAATCCTCCATACGCACAAGTTTTGTCCTTAATTAGTTCATTAATTAACCAATACTTTAATGTATTGTTATGGAATATTTTGGCTCATGTCTCATTATTATTCGCATATTTTGTTGATGGTAAAACATTTCATTAAAAGAAGAAAAAAATACAAATTAGCATCATTTGACTTCCTGTAAGGCTCTAGTCTTGGGATATGATTCTTATTAAGGAATTTCCACATCTGTTCCTACAATTAGTCGTCTCCACAGCTATGTATTCATTTTATTAGAATTAATGGCTTATGTTTATGACAGGCTGTAATGGAAAGGGAACTTCCTTCAATTTCTAGAAATAAAATTCCTAGAATAAAATTAGAATAATCAACAAAAATTTTACTTTTTAAAAATTAAGGAATTTTATTTTGAATAATTTTTTTTCTTTTGATGTGGCATGTTTTGCGAAGCTTCCAAAATAGCTTAGAATGCTCAAAATTAGAATTATAACTCAACTTTTTAAATTCCTCGAAATTCTTTGTCATAAAAATAAATAATTAAATTTTTTTCATGCCACCTCGAGTCAATAAATAGAAAAATATTTCCTTAATTTTTTGTTGCTTTGTGCCTGTTTTTTTATTCCGTAACGCAAAAAATAATTATTTTGTGGATCTTGTCATTAGATAAATTCTTTATTTAAACTGTCACTGAATCTCAACCCTCCTTAAAGCTTTACGTAACTATTGAACGGCTCCTTTATTAAAAATACATTGGTGCTAACATAAAAACTTATTTTTAACTTTAAAACTCTTTCATACTTGAACAAATTAAATTATGTTAACTTAATAAAGAATGTAAGTACTCAGAATATTCAATTTTGGCGTCCTACAACGCATTTTTTCAAGCTATAAAGCAGTCAAATTGTTTATTTAAAATATAAAATTTGCTTGTTAAATTTGAATTTCTATTATTGGAGTTGTTCACTGATGACGCATGTATCTGCAAGATACACAATGTTGTTATCTGGATATTGTCCTAGCCTCGGGCAATATTTGAATAAGATTCAATTATGGAATTAATCCATTAGTCTTAGACAAACAAAAACAAATAAATGCTTCAAAATTTTTAAAATTATTGGAATTAAAAAATGTAAAGACACAAGTCATTGTGCTTAGCCTAAATGAAATATCTACCTAGAAAACTGAACTCCAAGATGAGCAAAGACTTAAATTATTTTACAAACTCTGAATAAGTTATTAAAACTCAAGCTGAGCATGTAATTATTAATAATTCTTCTTCAGTCGCATATTTCCATGTTTAAATCAAAAACTTCTAACATACTTACTTACTTCGCTGGCCGTACAGATCAATTGTGATCTATGTGTGCCCTTAGATGGCGCCTGAAGCTAGCTCTATCGTAATGCAATACTGTCTCTGTCAACAGCTTCTTTCCAAGAGTTTTTGAAACGTGATCTTTTGCCATCTGCAAACACATTTTTAAAGACTTTATTAATGAGAGCTTCAACAGGGCTCCCAACGACATGTCCAGCCTATCGGAGCCTGTTGAAACACTTCTTAAAACTTCCTTAACTTCCGGAACTCCCGGAAGTTTAATACCTTTTCGGAAGTTTCTTAAGTGTCTACGTCTTGTTTGAATCAGTTTGAAAATCTGGTTTGACAAAACGATATTCAATGTAATATCCAAAAGATTCCCTTTAAAGTATTCCTGCGCTAAAGTTCGGCATACATTTGATGGTAAAATAAGATGCCTAGGAATCAGTGACTAGTCACAAACACTAGTTTTGTACTTATTGGTCAAATAAGTCCAGTCAAACGGTGCTTGTCAGGAATATTTTAAAGAAAAATATTTATATTTGGTCATAAAAAGAGTTTTAAGAGTCTTAATGGAATTAATTTGCAGTTGCACAACATTATTCTACGTCCTCAATGAACAACAATTAAGAAATTCAATTCATATTTTATTAAAAATTGTAGACAAACTGTAAATAATGCAAAATTTCTTAAAAAGTGCGTTTAAAAAAATTTAAAATAAAAAAAAAATCTTAATGGAATAAAAAAATTAAATTGTAAGCCAAAGAAAATTATGAAAATAAAATTATGTTAACATAAAAATGATAAGAAAGAGTTAAGAAAATCGCTGTAAAATAAGCGAAAATATGAAAATGAAGAAAATTTTTAACAATGAGTTATTGTACAGCATAAGATCGATATATACTTTTTTTACATTTTATAAATTGGCGAAAAGATTTTATGTAAATATAAAATTATGGCAAGTGATGATCGGTAAAGCCATACAGTATTTAAGAAGAAAATTTCATCCGTACATTAAGCATCTCCTCCTATGATTTTTCACATTCATGTCGCATTTCTAGATTGTTAAGAAAATTTTCGTTCCATTCAGCACGAAAAGAGAAAAAATTTCCCACAAAAGTCACATTTTCTTAATCTTTTGTTGGCTTTCAATAACTTCATAATGGGATCTTTATTATCAAAATGTTTAGATTAAATTAAAAGCGTTTATAAGAAACAAAAAAGTTAAAAACAATGAAAATATTTTTATGTTAAGAAATGAGAATAAAGAGGATGGAAAAATTTGTCAGAAAAAAATGTAAACCTTTTAATTTTTAATCTTTAGGTGACCCAAAATAATATTCATTGAAACTTAATTGGTTGCAAAAATATTTGTTTAGGAAGAACTTTAAGCTCTCACACCTCAGACGGTAATCAAGCCACTTTGATCCACTTGAGAGTAATAAAATCAGCAAGATATCATTAAGAGATATTTACGGGTATTATCACACAAGAGTCCGACTTCATGAGAATTGTCAAGGTAATTAGAAAAGGATGGACGTGCTTTTGAGAAGATTTTATTGATGTTTTCAGAGAATCTTTTTATTTTTATATTGCATTTACAGTTTCTATGGATAAAGAATGTTTTTTTGTTCATTAACATGATTGCTTTTCAATTGATCCTAGCAAAGGTAATAAACAGACAGAGGCAATAAAAAGGATTGAATTGAGTAGATGAATTGACTACAAAACATATCATATATCAATTTAATTAGAAATGATTTCTTAACTCTTGAGTAGGATGTTTACTAGCACAGGTCAAACTTTTGTTTTAAATACCCCCACATGTCAGCCTATACATATAATCATGTCTTGTTTATTTTCCAGTTGCCACTGTTATTTTATGTTATACGAGTTTTGATGTTAAACTAAGAAGGAGTTCGATGGGCAAAATAGAAAATTATTTGTTGTTAAACATTTGCTAATTGATGGAGCCAAAATTGACTTCTATCATATTTCAATTTGTTTTAACTGTCTCATTATTTATCTGTTTTTTAAAAAGATTTTTTTAAGCCTCGTTGGCTAATTGCTTTACGTAAAATCACCATCTAGATTCCTCCCCTCTCCTCCGTTCCTCGTACAAAATTGATAATGAAACAATAAATTTAAAAATTCCAGACTCCCCCTTATTTATTTTCTTGGGCTGACAACTGATCTTGCAGAATTTCAACTTATTTAAATTTTTGGAAAAAATCTTGTCTTTAACATGAATTTTCTTAGAACATCCAACGGTTTTCTTATACAAATTTATTTAATTATGCCTCATCATTTATATAAAGAAATTCCAT